AGGAGAAGAGAAGAAGAGGAGAAGAGAAGAGGAGGGGAGGGGAGGGGAGGGGAGGGGAGGGGAGGGGAGGGGAGGGGAGCGAGAAGAGAAAAGAATGAATATGGCCAAGGCGTGGTGGCTCACAGGTTCAAGACCATTCTGAGCAAGAGGGAGGCCCAGTCTCTACTAAAAATAAAAAAATCAGCCAGGCAGAGTGGTGTGCACCTGTAGTCCCAGCTACTTAGGAGGCTGAGGCAAGAGGATCGCTTGAGCCTGGGAGTTGGAAGTTGCTATGAGCTAGGCTGACGCCACGGCGCTCTCAGTCTCATGGAGTGAGACTGTCTCCCAAAAATAAAAATAAAAAACAAAATAAAAAGAATATGGCTGAGCACGGTCACACATATAATCCCAGCACTTTGGGAGGCCAAGGCAGAAGGACAACTTGAGCCCAGGATTTGAGACAAACCTGGGCAACATAGCAAGACCCTGTCTCTACAAAAAGTAGATGGTATGAACATATATATTATGCATGAACTGTTCAAGACTGTTTTCCAGGATTAACAAGACAATGAGGGGAAAGACAAAAGGGAGAATACTCCAGAGACAGCAAAGAGCATTTCAAGCTGACAAAATACTCTAAATTAGGGCTTTTTAACCCAGGATCTTTGTACTTGGGTAGATAATATTGCATCTTTATTTTCATTAACATCTACCTGAAATTTAGCACGTTCTTCAATTATGACTGTATCCAACAAACCACATTAACATTAATAATATACCTGTGACTTTATCACAAACAGAAATTACACGTATATATTTTCATGTTACAATTGTTATAGACATCTCAAAATCTTGTTTATGCTCATTATGATAGTTGGTACACCTGCTTATATTTCATGCATTGTATGATAAAGCAACTATACCATTAAGTTTATTTTTAAATGTCTTGACAGCTACTTTCACATAATTGGTTTCCTTTGTAATCCCACCTTACACTATACATTTTAAAACATTACTCTGAGAAGCAGTCCACAGGATTCACCTAACTGCTGAAGGAGTTCATGGCACAAAAAAAGGTTAAGAACTCCTGCTCTTATAAATAAACTTTAGGAGGGTTAAATTCAGAATGATTAACATTAACCAGACAAGTAACTGAACTATCCAAAACCCAAAGTATCACAATTAACAATGAACTAAGTTTGCAATGATCTAAATTGAAAATTACCTTTTCCCTACTTGCAGGCTGCTCCAGGTTATTTAGCTCATTATAAGCTGATACTAAGTTTTATGAAACCAGCTTATTACACTAAATCAAAGCCCTGATTGAAGGGAAACAGGACGAGAGAGGAAATTATTTGTCAATTCCCAAACCAGATTCCCCTCATAAAAGTCACAAATATAGCTACTCTACCATTTGTAGTTGCTTATTTAAGAAAGTCAAAAGAAAAGAGCAGAACGTGCAAAACAGTATGTGCCACACTAGATATCTAGTTCAACCCTCACAATCATCAGTACTATCTGCAACTTACACCTTGCTCCCCACTGGCCTCTAAGACCTGGACTCTATTATCAAATGCACCTGCCTCCTTATCCTCTTCTACCTTCGCCTTTTACTCTAATCAGCCTAGGACCACAGTCATTCTCAGCTCCATACCTCTGTTCTCTGACCTGCAACAAAATATATCCCACCTGTCCTTTAAAATCAGTTGAATGCAACCTTGGTCCTCATCGAGCCCTCTCCTGGTCTGATAGCACTTGGAATCCACCAGTTTAGCACTTGGTTCCTCAAATATTCCACAACTGTTTCATGTAGAACCCAAGGTTCCTGGATGAACACAATAGTCAACTGATTGATATGGGTAAGAGCATGTCTAAAACTGCTACTAAACTAACACTACACATAAAAAAAAAAACTAAACCATGATAATTACGTCACTCCTCTTTTAAAATGTCTTGTCATTGTATGCAGACAGCACAGCAAAGTTGGTAAGGCACACAACACTAACTGTTCACTATTCACTTTTCTTCAACCTAAACTACCAGCCAGATTGGCCGTTTCTACATTATCTACTGAACACATATATCTGTTAATTTCCAATTTCAAGCCTTTAGTTTTACTACTTCCTCCACCAGAATTTTCATTTTCTTGGTGTATAAACAAGTCTTTCAAGACACAGCTAAAGAACTACCTTTGCCACAAGGCCTTCCTTCCTGGAGACCAGAGTACACTCTCCCTTATTCTAGGGTTCCTAGGACCATCAGGAATGGTCTCATCACTTGTCACTGAGTACTTCCTTGCACTACTTAGATGGCAAAACAAGTCACAATGACTAAATTGAGAGCAACTGAAGGTGCACAAAGGGAATCTTGCTCTATTCATGAAAAATATGCTTGCCTATAGATGAAGACAAAAGATGTGAAAAGAAGGTTATAATATGTAGCTCACAGATCTCTGATCCCACTGACATTATCTACAAAATCTGGTATCAAAAGAATTCTGTATTGTTTTCTGATGCAAGGAATCATAACTTTTGATCAGATGGCAAAAGAGTGACACTATAAAGGTTAAGCTCTGATCCAAGAAGTAACTTCCTGGGTATCATACAGCAATATTATATGATTGGATATTACACAGTAATATAATTGTAACTTTCCAGTAATATCCAGTAACTTTCCTGGGTATATACGGTATATTTATAAATGAGGAATAAACTAGTATGCTAGATCTAAAGGATACACATATTAGAAAACATAGTAGGCCTCAAAGACTAGCCTCCAAACCTCTTGAAAGGATAGTTTCAAATTTTAATATTGGGAAATATATTAGATACAGGGGATAAATTAAGATATTGTAATAGGAATAGGGAAATGTCCCCTGAAAATTCGGTTTGCTAAAGCAATGAATGCAGAGGACACAGAGGGAATACGGTCCAGTCCCTGCCCTCAAAGAGCTCACAATCTAGCAAGGGCTATTAGAGAAGTAACCACAACACAAGGCAGAACAAAATAACTCCTTTTCTTAATGGTAACACAAAGTTCAAAGGAGACAGATATAAGTTTTTGGTTTGGAGATCAAGAAAGGAAGGCTAACCTGTCATGGAATTAAGTTTAAAAAAAAAAGAAAAGAAGGCAAAAGTGTTAAACCTTCAAGAATGAGATGGATTTAAATTAGAAATGGAAAATGGAATAAAATGAAATAAAAAGCAAAAGGGTACGAAAGGATGGAGGAATAAAATGTAAAAAACAAACATCAATTTCCCAGAGAAAAATCTTCCTTCTTAACAACTACTAGCTGTTATACATGAGCCTCAGGGAAGTTGAGATACTTCAAGTCTTAGGCCAATGGTCCCCAGGTATGCTACTAGGGGACCCAGTACAAGAATGTGTAAAACACTCTACTCAGAAAAGCAAGCCATGGAATAAAACAAAAACTATCACATAACAGTGATATATCTATGTAAAACTGTGTTGCAGTAACCAAGATAATGTAGGGAAAACCCTAACCCAACAATAAATTAACTTTCAGAATGATGTTTATTTTCAAAAACTGCTGAAATGAGATACATGATAAAGGCATCCTTGGTTTTATATTTCTGAATAAGTGATTGCTTTGATATAATCATGCTAGCTATTTGTGACTATGCAGAAGTACATTTCTGTTCAAGTTCTAATAACTGTCCAGCCTCCAAGAACACTGGTAAAATTATTTTGAAACAAGAGATCAATAAATCAAAAAAGAATCCCAACTCTATTTATAAAGTAATGAACAATTAAATGAAAAAACTAGATTTTTGTTCTTAAGAGATTTGAAACAAACTCTTCTCAAATCACATGGACAGGGTTAGATTGGGGAAACAGAAGCTAAGAACCAAAAATGACCATAAAGAAAAGGCACAAAAAAACCAATTCCTACGGGGAGGTAGACATACACACTGGAAACTACAGGGAGAACAATGTACACTTTAGTTTACTCGCTGGAAAAAAGAATTTGTTAATTAAATCTTATGTAAATATGCACATCATTCCCTAAAGGGATTTCTTTTGGTAAACTATTTATGGTTATCAATCAAAAGCCATTTAATATCAACTAGTGAAATAATGACCAAAGGAACAACATGGTATAACTAATCTGCAAAGACCATAAGGAAATTTCTCCATAGATACAGAATTTCTACACTTTAAAATGAGATTCTAACCTTTCAATCCTAGAAGTCTGTTTATGAACCAGTCTGAAACTAAGAAAATGACAGAAATTCATAGTCCATCAAACTGCTTCTGCCACAAGGGAGAACTTGTAGTACTTAACAAGACCAGGAAACAACCTGCCCTCTTTTTATAATCCAAACAGCTGATTTTCCTTTAAAAAAAAAAAATTAAACAGAAGGATCAAACAGCCCTAGATTTAGTCCTACACTATGATTTTAAAAACAGAGGGCACACATACAAAATTTTCCAGAGACTTATGAATAAAGAGCCAAGTAATTTCACAGCAGATTTAGTACTGAGTGGTTTGTGTGTAAGTGTGCATGTGCATGTGTGTGTTTTCCCCTAATCACATTCTAACCATTTTTAATCTAAAATCATTAAATTAAAAGACATAACTGATAAGATGACCTGGCACTATAGTCCTGACAGCGGTAGACAGTAGAGTTTACTATTTTAAAAACAAAGCAAACTGCAAGCATCACAACCACATATATCTTCAGAGAAATTAATTTAGCGTCCAAGAGGGTTGTGTTATAACAGGTATCACAACCTCACCATTCCCCAGGTGTTGGGGAAAGAGTAGAGCCAAAGGAAGTACAGAGCAGGGTGGTCTCTTGCCTCAGCATGGGGATGAGCTTCATGAGGAGAAAGACATAGAGGCTTTGTAAACCTACGTCACTACTAGGTAAATAAAGGCTGGCTATGAATAGCCTAAAATAATGCCACCCTTCCCCCATCCCCCCTTCCTTAGTTACTTGAACAAAGTGCTGGCTGGAGGGAGAGTAGAGAGGGTGACAGAGAGACACACACAGTACCTGTTGTTGAGAATTGTAGTCAAAAAGTCCCACAGTTGCTGCTGCTGAGTCCACAGGTACCTGCGTGCCTGAATAATCAAACTGAAGAGGCTCCATGCCCACATGTTCCATAGGGTCCAAAGGGACACTCTGGGACTCCATGTTGGAGAAATCCTCCACAGGCTTGGCACCATTGGTGCTGGTCAGCTGGGCTAAACCCTCAGAACCATTCTGGTTTGGACCCAGAAGATCCACTTCATTAGCAGAGTTCTGGCAATTACCAGGGGTACGGCTAAACAGAGAAAGTAAAGGGCATTAAACCTTATTTTGAGTGGGGAGGGACACTACAGCAACCCAAGTTTAAGGACAATGTCCTTGCTATAACTCATTATCAATAGTACTTAAAACGACTTCTATAAAATAACCAGAGATCCTTTATGGTGCTTACAGGATTATATCCTCTAAAAATGATTCTTCTATTGCTTGCTTTTCCACCTAACCCACCCCTTAAATTCACATTAACTGCTATTTAATGATAATCCCTTTAACAACGAGTCCAGAGTTAATAAACACTGGATGAACTGGAAAACTCAATGTCTATGCCATCCATGAAAACAGAGATCCCAAAATTCAGGTTGCAAAATATGCCCCCCAAAGCAACATCTACTCTTTAAATATAGTTTAAATTTTTCCAATGGAAAAATTCAGTTTTCAGGGGAAATTCCATATCTCAGAATGATCCTAATGACACTGTTTTTACATATTATTGGTATTACTGGCAAATGCTAAAACTATCCCCCCTTCTAAGAAACCAGAAGAAGCAAATCATTTAAAAGTTATACAAAATAAATTTATTAGGGTATGCCCCTGCTAGGGAGACAATTCTAAAACTTAAAAGTAATGTCAGGATATAATTTATCATCTAAACCAGGACACTCCTAAGAGCAAAACAGGGCAATGCTGACAATTATCCTGGGACACAAGTATAAAAAAGTACTATTCTAGGTAGCCCAGAATATATCATTACCTTATATAAAAGGATTACAAGATTATATGATCCAAAATGAGATTAATATATTATATTATACACAGGGGAGGGTAGTGTGTGGCTATATTCAATGCCCTTCATCTCTAAAAATCCTGTAGTTGGTACATAATAATGGTATTGTCATATTCCTTCTCTCTCTTCACATACACACACACACAAACAACACACCACACCACACCACACGACCACCACCTGCCCTCTGTTAAATACCACAAAATATAGCTACAAGCTGCTGGATTTAGGGTGAGAGGCCACCTGAACTCATCTGAAAAGACCTTAGGTAGTATTTATTACCCTGTGCCTCAAATTTCTTTCAAAGATTGTAATTCCTTACACGTGCAAGATACAAAAATTACATTACCAAAACTTGTTCTACAAATGATGATGCAAATACATTTTAATTTTGTCTTTGGTAGATATTAGGATAAGCAGGATAGGTGTGTGGGTAGGTGTGTACACATACATACACACACATAAGCTTTAGACTGACATTAAAATTATTCAAAATTAAATATTCTCTCTGTATATTACTGAACAAGAATTTTTATAGATTTTTTAATTAAGAGACAGGATCTGGCTATGTTGCCCAGGCTGGTCTGGAAGTCCTGGGCTCAAGCAATCCTCCCATCTCAGCCTCTCAAGTAGCTGGGACTATTGACCGTGTGCCACCACACCTGGCTAAACTATAAACCGTAACTAAAGGTCACCTACATAAATAAAGAATACTTGCCAACTGTGGAAGACAAATATACATTATTTTAATATTGTATATATTAAATTGTGAAATGAAACCTGCAAATCAACCATGACCAGAGATGGGATAAGAGGCATCCACTGAAGGGATATGATTAAGAACAAGTCATTTAAGCTGCATCTCTGGTACTTCAAAATGAGGAAAATGATAACTGACCCACCTACAAGAAGCATATGAGACTCAAATGATATATTATGCAAGTTCTCCACTGTTTTTCCCTCTAACATAGCAGAGGGATATAACACTTCCATTAGTAAACCATGACTCTTTAATATAGCGATGTGGGAGAATCTTAAGAAAAGTTCCAAGCCATCTATCCCAGGTGATTTTGTTATTTGAGAATCACTGAAATGATCTTTTTCTGGTATCATTCTGCAAAATCTAGCATTTTGGCAACACATCAGGCATTGACAACTTTTAGAGAATTCCACCTTACCAGTTAATTTACAATGCTGTGGCATGGCCTAACCTAGATCAAATTATTTAAGGGGGGTAGGGAGGCAGTGATAAGACTAAAATCAAAATAAAACTAAACCAAAACAAATAAAAACCCATAGCCCACATTCAAAAATCAGAAGTGTAAAACATACAAACCTAAAATCTTTGACGTCTGCATCAATCCCATTCTGCACTGGTAAACCATTGGTCTTGTCCATCACATCACCCTCCTCCTTCAAATCTCCTAGCTTATCTCCATCAAACGTACCCTTGTTCTTCTTTTCACCTTTGTCGTTTTCATCACTGTCTGCATCCCTTGGGCCCTGTTTAAAAAATAGCTTCAGCTTCACTAATCATCATCGACTATTAAGAGTGGGCAACCGCTGTGGACACCAGACTACACTAGAAGCTAATTAGAACAGGATAGTGTCCTGCCCTTTCAGACATTACAATCTAATTAACGAACAACACAGAGGCAGGAACACCGCAGAAGTCTTGCCAAATGGGGAAGACAGACATACATTCATGTTACAGAGTTTAGGACAGTCTTACCATACCCAATGTCCCACCACCCATTTTTTTTCCTTTCTACCCAAAGCCCAGCTGCAACTTCATGCCTCTCAGTCCCACTTCTCTATTCTTAAATCTAACTCTATATAATAGTATGACTCCTAATAAGCCCCAGGTGTGGTGGCCAATAGCATAGAATGAGTGTATTAAGTCCATAGAAAGAATTTCACACTTCCCTATTGTCTATGTAAATTTCTCCCTAACTTCCAATTATTGAGCTAAGAGTGGTCTGACATCATTCCAACTCAAATTATGCTATACTTGATCTTGGAATATATGCCCTACCAATTTGCACCACCTCCCAATTCCACCCTATAAGCCTCACAGCTTATGTATCAACAATTCACCAATGACCCTTAACTTTAATTTAATGCCTCAAAACAAGTTATATCTAACTGTGAGATTCTTTCACCAAAAGTACCCTAATTAGTATTTACATGCTGTCTTCTATCACCTGCCTGTCCCAAAGCAGATTATTCAAGAGATGTAAGTGGCAGTATATTAAATTGAAACATTTGATGCAAAATTTAACTCTGAAGTGCTTCAAATTATAAAGCTTGAAACACTGAACCTAAAAGAATTGATCTGGTGCCAGACATGTTTATGCCCTGCCCTAGACATATAAAGCAAATGTACCTTGATTTCCAAAAGGAAAATATTTGGTATGGTGACTTGACATGGTATAGAGGGCTTTTGCAGAACCTTACACCAAACAGAGGGTTTAACTTTTGCTTTTGTAAAACTAGAGGGAGGCAGCCCTGCTTTCTTCCACCACTGACACCTGGTTTAAGAAAGAGAAATGTGCATGGACCAAGATAAAGTTCCTGGTACAAGGAAAGATCCAATCAATAAAAGATGAGTGTTGCTGCACAGCATTTCTGGTTACCAAAAACAAACTTCAGGGGGAGGGGAATCAATAATGGAGTACAGAGCAGCAGATGCTGAGTGGTGGACAGACTGAATGTGGACAGAACTACAGATGCAAAACCAACAGATGTTCCCAGGGTAGTTCCTAGAGATTACTGATCCAGAAAAGAGTGACCCTGTGGACCTTGACTAACATTCTTAACCTTTTCAACAACTAGTTCAGAGCCCACTTTACTTTTAAAGTCATTCTCTGTTCAAATGTGATACAGAAAAAGAAAGACTTCTTGAATATTATGAAAAAAGGAACACATATGACAAGAAACTGAGAAAGGATATACAATTTAGCTTCATATGGCATCAAGACAGTAAATCACAGCTTTGGCAGCAACTGAGATGTGCCTTTCAGAGCAGAATCTTTAAAGTATGGACTGTTACTGATTCAAAAGGATTCAATGATAGCCAATTAAGCCCCACATAGAGATTCCCCAAAGTAGAGACTGGAATAGGACAGGGTTCTTAAAGGTAAAATGATCTTTCAAAATATCCAGAGGCAACAGCTTCCTCCACACTACAAAGGTAAAACTGACAGAAGCTGTATATTTGTTTTTATATCCTTACCACTAAATATAGCATCTGACAGAAGTTCAATAAATATGATGAAAAACACTAAAAAGGGCAAAAATTCCTATAAAACTGAACTGCTAAAATAAGAAAGATCTGCCTGTTTCCTTTATTATCATCCAGTAAGAGTCCAGGAGGTGCTAATATGGTCTAAATGAGAAACAACTCTCCTGAATCAGAAAGCATTAATGTCAACAGCAAATGAGAATAACAAGGATCATCCCACTGCCATGCCTAACCAATCTTCTACAAATCTACAAATCAAATCACTGGCTTAGGAACAGTTTGGCTTCAACTTCTCACAAGAAGTTCAGAAAGTCTACCGGCAAAGTTGGAAAGAAAATAGGATAAAGCAGCAGCAGAAAGAGTCAACAAAAAGCAAGAACACTGGTGGCAGGAGATACTCACTAAGTCAGATCAATGCTCTGCATTCTTTCCTCAGTGACCCTTCACAGGGGCTTCCTGAGAACCTGCCCAGCCTACCTCCATGCTGGATGCTCTGGCCTGAAAACCTGGCTGGTAATAATTACATTCTCAATTATACTAGCCAAGGGCTAGATTTTCAAATATTTCCCTGTAGAAGGCTGATTTTCACCAATATTGTACGTCCATCCCTCCAAAATATTGTTGCCTGATTTTCTGCTCTGAATAAGCTATTGATGCTTATGCAGAACAATTCCTTCTGTTGGAGGGTGGACCCAAGGGAGGTGTCTACTTCTTCATCTGGATGGCTATTGAGTGTTTTCATTTTGTAGAAATTCATGAAGATGACCATTTATGACATATTTTTCTGTACATAGGCCATATTCTCATAGCAAATTTACTTTTAAAAATTCAATAAATCTATACTGATCCTCAATAAAAAATGGTTGGCAGAAGTTTTAACTTCTGAATAAAACCAACAGCACAAGTGGGAAAATTATCTTGTCAAAAGTTTGTTTCTAAAAGACAGTAGTGGATTGGAGATAATAAAAATGGTTTCTTAGAAATGTGAAGACCGTAGAGAAAATAGAAGAGAAGTAATAAAAGGACTGTTAAGTTTTATGCGATTTTTAAATTTTAAAAAATTTTTAAGATAAGGTAGTCATAGCTATGTAAGCTTTAAGAAAGTACCGACACAGGTTACACAGAATCTACCTTCTATTTCGACTGCTAACACTTACTGGTCACAGGACTTTGGACAGGTCATTTAATCTGATTTCTAGTTTACCCATCTATAAAAGAGGGACAATTTTGTTTAAAACAATAATTATGAACATCCGTGAAATCATGCATGTATAAAAGTTTTATAAAGTACAAGCCATTTTATATAAATGTCATATAATACTAGTAGTAAAGAAATTCACCGGGATGGTTATTTTTTATGTGAACACTATGCAGGGTATTCAAGATTTAAAAATTTTAAAATGACCCAAGTAAGTGGTTTAACTCTCAAATAAAAATATATAGCTAATGTAGCCCTCTCAAGGGCACTGTTATTTTCACAATAGGGTGGTTCTATGGTTAGGGTTGGACATTACAATCTTCAAATTTTCAGGTATCTGGGCCCACTCCCTGCCCTAGAGATTCTGATTTCACTGGTCTGTAGAGGCTTCTGCATATGTTACAAAAAGCTTCTCCTCCAATAGCTCTGATAAGCACACACAATTGAGAATCAATATAAGTAAGTCCAATGTAAGCCATCAGAAAGGCAGGGTTGGTGTTCTGCTTTTTGTCCACATATTATCTAGTAAATAATCATATTGAAAAAGCGTATCAGCTATATGAATAAAAAAATAAAGAATTAACAGCATCTTTTTATTATGGGCTTCCTTTAGATCAATGTTAACCCAAAGTTCTCAGCCCAAATGCAAGCTTGAGTGGTATGCTCAAAATGCAAGTGGCCAAGCCCAATCGAAAACTCAAGAGTAGGACCGAGACGGGTGCTGACAGATCCCAGATCTGCACAGAGGTTAAGGAGTACGTTCCATTCCTAGATATCAATCAAAGAACTGGGAGAGGAACAGACTCAGGTAGAAGAACCGCATTATTGAGATCAGAGCACATGCACTTATGGCTCAGCTTCCTCTAAAGACTCACATAAAGGGAGGAATACTTCCAAATATATGTAATAATTCTGAATGAAGTCAGAAAAATTAGAATTTAATTCCTCCTCGTGGTGCATGCAGTCATCTTAGAACAAAGCTCTACATGACAAAATTCACATTCAATGAGATTCGGAATTTTCCTGCCTTCTTTCTAAAAGAGCAGCATTTTATATAACTGCTTAATATAATCAGTCCAAAAACTATAACATCATTAACTAAAATATTCGTTTCTCCTACACACACTTATTGGCTTTTCACAAAATGCCACGAAAATGAAATGTCAAATTCCTTCAAAGTGCAGCAACTTACAGCTCTGCTGGTAATAAGAAAAATTTTAACTATCAAAAAATAGGAGTAGGCTGGGTGTGGAGGCTCACACCTGTAATCCTAGCACTCTGGGAGGAGGATCATTTGAGCTTGGGAGTTCAAGATCAGCCTGAGCCCTGAGCAAGAGTAAGACCCCGTCTCTACTAAAAATAGAAAAAATTAACTGGGCGTGGTGTTACGTGCCTAAAGTCCCAGCTACTCGGGAGGCTGAGGCAGGAGGACCACTTGAGCCCAGAAGTTTGAGGTTGCTGTGAATTAGGCTGATGCCACGGCATTGTAGCCCAGGCAACAGAGCGAGACTCTGTTTCAAAAAAAAAAAACAATTATGTGAGTAAAAGTTTTAAACTACTAGCCATGTGAAATACTCTTTTAAATTTAACACATTAAATATGATCCTTTTATGAAGAACCCCACTCATTTAAAAAAGCAAATATAGCATATATAGCTAAGAAAACAATATAGCTAAGAATTGAAATTAGAATGGAATTTGAATCCAGGCTCCCCATTTCCCCTCTAAATCTCATTTTTCTCATCTATGAATTAATAGACAACAATATCTACCTCAAAGGGTTGTTTCAAGGATTAAACAAGGCAATTCATGAAAGCACAATTCTTTTGTTAAAAAAATTCTTAAAAGCACTTTTTCCAATCTTCACATTTTTTTCCCATTGCCTTTTTCACAGCAGCAACCTCCCTCACACTCCCACTTCCTCCCAAGGCTTAAAAATTGCAAGACGTCTTATGTCCCCCCTCCCCCCCCCAGGAAACTGTTATGACTCTAATCATTATATTCTTTGTCTAGCTGATTTTTCTGAGATATGTGTATGCAATCAATTACCACCAACTATTACTTTTCATGAAATCTGAGATACCATCAATTGTAAGATACACCATCATTTTATGTGCCACTAAAACAGAAACACTGCAATTAAACTATGACATACCATCATTTGAAAGATCCATCCCCATTTCAAAATGAACAAATGTAGGGATGTGTATATTTTAAAACATGATATACACCAGGAACTTTGTGGATAATTGTTGCCCAATTCCTGATGCATAGAGAAATATAAGAGATACCCTCTGCTTTGGTGACCACCAGATACAGAAGGCAGGGAGAAACATATCTTAAACATGGAGAATGGTGTTTGTTTTTATTATAGAGATGAAGACCCCCCCCCCAAAAAAATGTAAGAATTCTTTAAGATTTTTTAAGCCATCTAGTTAGTTTCTATAAGTTTGACACTACAAAGCAGAGCATATAGACTTCCTGCTTAAGGGAAACCCAAATCTGAAGGAGTTCTAACCTACAGATAAATTTCTAATAGCCTCCTGATGATTTACTCTTCCAAGGAAACTATGTCTTATAGCAGTGCTTATCAAATTTTAATACGCATATACCAATCACCAGGGGGAGTCTTGTCAGAAATGCTGATTTTGATTCAGTAGGTCTGGGATAGGGACTGAGATTCTGTATTTCTAATAAGCTCCTAGGTGACACTAACCTTACTAGTCTACTGACTTTGAGGGGCAAGACTTTAAAGGTTTACAAAGAATTTTCATATTTATTACACAGCCACACAAATTAGACTTTGTTGAGTTTTGATTATCCCCACTTTGTAGATGAGGAAATTAAGGTCCAGCTGAGACTTAAACCCTTGACTTTTATCTGCATTACACTATAAAAACTTTTTAAACAAAAATCAATTAAAGTGAAGTGGCACCAGTTACCTAAAATAAATACAGTAAAGCCTAGAAAAGCAAGTCATCAAATTTTGTGGCCCAAATGAATTGCTATGAAATGTTATGCATCCTCCAGGTCAGAAAGCAGTCACTCTCTACAGAACAAATTTTCCTAAAAATCTTTCTCCTATAGGGTTAAGGTGGTTTTCACCCTAATCAAAGTTTGAAGTGGTCTTCTCATTTCCCTGAGTACCATAAACCAGCAAGGAAGAAATTAAGATCCACTTTTCTAACTAGCCAGATTTCAACATGTTTGAAGATGATCAGCAGGCATTCCAGAAGACCAAACAGCAGTGCCCTTAGATGGGCAATTTCACCCACAGGCCTCAAAAATACAGTCAGTAGTTACATCTGATTTTGTAACCACTATGAACTATGGGGGTGAAGGTGGGGAGTAGCAGGGGTGCCTGTCTTATTCTAGGAATAAATAAAATAAAGGATAGAAAAAGAAAAGAAAAATAAAAGACTTGACTGATTTTCTGAGTTTTCCTATTATTCTGAAAACTGCTACCCTAAAGCTTGGGATTCATTTGTGGAATACTATCAAAAATTTACAGTGCGTTCTAAGAAAAAAAAATACAGTTGTCAGATTCTGCCAGCCTGAAAGTATTCTTATCACAGAAGCCAAAACTACCACATTGAATCCATTCGAACAAAGTGAACTCAAGAAGGCAGAGAAGTTAGACAAAGAGTTAAAGAGCTTCATTCAAGCTGTAACCAAGAAACCTCACTAAAAATGGAAAACCGCTATAGAAAGAGATTACTTTCCTTTGAACCATCTTTACCTGCAAAGTTAAAATCTGGATTATCTGTTGTCAATATATGAGAATGGCCTGTTAGTACTTGCTTTCAGGTCTACAACTGCTATGCCAGGAGAGATGATGTTTTCAGGTCTCAGGAGACTAAAATGAGGCTTTGTGGAAGTAATGTTGGTACAGACAACCGAAAAGTACAGTACCACTCTTTCAGAATAATTTTAGAACAATTATCTACAAGAAGCAGATATCTTCCTTGTTCTCTGAACTCAATACTTTGAATAACAGACTAGATTTAAAAAGAAAAAAGAAAACGCTCACCTTTTTCAAGAAGATGCATGCATACCATGACAACCACAAAGTGATTCAGGTTTCCATGAACAGAGCTTTGGTCAGGTGTCATCCTAACCAACAGGCAGAGCAAAGGCAGGTTAGGTATAAGATTAACAGGATATAACTACAAAGCTGACAAGCAGTTCACTGATCCTCAGCCCTCTATCCACCAGAAACCTGTATATGCCAACATGTGACTTGGTGTCACTGGACAGTCCTCCTATGTCACTTTATAGATGCAACTCAAGTCAAAATATGGGATAACATTTCATTAGCCAGAACTTTCATTCCAAAAAGAAGCTGGAACACAGATTTAGAGAATGTTCATTTATCTTTATATACACTTCAGAAGCTGAGTAAATTATCTGATTGTTAAGAGAGTCCAATTTTCTGACCTCATCTATCTATCCTGAGGTCTTAACATCTACTCTGGTCACGACACTTTTATAAAAGAGCTAAAAAATCATGAGTCTCCCAAGAGAACTAAACATGGAACCCACCTTTACAAAATACAAGATACTGAATCCAAAAGAAGCACCTTTTGTCATAAAAATAATTGTCTAATGAAATGATTGTTTAAAAAAAGGAAAACAATAGGCAAAAATAAAATTAATTCAGTCCCACTATTATATCTTTCTCCTAATTCCAATTATTTTTCTGCCTCCCACAAACTTCACAGTAACCAGGCACGTGCCTCCCTGGCTAATGCCCCAGAATCAGAAACAGGTCACACACAGCGTAAGTCACAGGTTCCAGTTCAACACAGTAGCAACTTACTAAAGCATAATACTAACTCCTTTCCTCTGATAAATGACAAGTTACAGGCAACGTTTAGAAGGCAGCAATTCTGATGAGTAATCTGTGCTCCTAAGAGGAGGAAAAGTGTGGAAGACAGAAAAAGAGGTGAGCTGGAGATAAGGTGAAAAAAGAAAAATAACTCCATTCTTCCTATGAAACAACAGGCAAATGATAATTTGGCATGATCCCACTCCTCACATCCAAAGGGTAGATATCTTGCTCTTCCCAAGCAGCCCCTTAGGAAGGGTCAAACAAAAGAAGCCATTTCTTATCTGTTTCACAGGCTACTAAACCTGACCTAAGTCTTTGCAGGGTCAAAAGACCCAGAAGCAATCAGGTCAGCTTTAATGCTGAGTACTCAAGAACTGTACTTGACACTTGAGTAAGCTATACCAAAAATGAACTACTGGTACTCTAAAGAAGTTTAAAGCAGAATAGGCAAAACAAGACCTAGCCTCTGATACTTGGCAACAGATGTATAACAATAAAAATACTGAGCAACAAATGCTGTAAGATAAAGAAAGACAGTTATGGAGGCAGAATTATTAATATGATGGGGGGAATGTTTGTTAAATGACTGCCAGCAGGTAGTATTTTGCCCACAATGACTTCAGAGAGAAAGATCTTTAAAAAGATACAAAACTGCCAGATGATTGCAGTCGCTAAACAAAAAAAATAAATAAAAAATAAAAAATAAAAAGATACAAAACAAGTTGAGTCAGGAGAAAAGAAGGGAAGATAGATTCAAAGTGCCTCTCATGGCCTTCTAGCTATGATTTGGAAACCAGTCACAGAATACAAAATGGGAAAGATTCAAATGAAAGTCTTTCAGACTTAAGACTTTCAGATCTAGAAAATCAATGATATAAAGAAATAGTTTTCAGAAGGCTATCAAAGATGCTTGAGAAAGACTGCTTAAGACTTAAAAGGGAAGAGACTGTTGACACAGAGGCTTGCTTTGACTACAAATTAGCATCAGAGAGGTCAATGATGATGAACTAAAAAAAAAAAAAAAAATTTAATACAGATAAAGGATTTCTAGTTCCCTGACAGGTATAAGCAATACTATTCAAGAAGGGCCAAAGATGACTCTACAATTAAAGTCTAGCTAGCAACCAAGAATAATCCTGTAAATCAGATTCATTTTAAAGTGTCTTGAGTATTGGCAAACCACTGCACTCAAATCTGAAATTCCCTATTGACACCCCAAATTCAGCTTTTAAAAAAAATTCCCTTTTTTTGTTTTAAACTAAAAATGGCGTGTTTTTGTAGACCAATGAACCCTGATGTAGATTTCAGTTCTTACCTCACATTATCAATGTGTTCCCAAAAAAGCATTATTTCTAAATTTTTAAAAAGTTTAGTTTATACTCCTACTATGTTTGCTGAGCTCTATTTACAATAAAAGTGTTTTAAAATACTCTGTAATTAGTGCTGTGAGTAGCTAAGGAAACTAAACAGGCATGTTTTATTTTAGGGGAGAAAATAGAGAGAGAGATACATAGGAACAAGTTCCTCAAGCCAACTTACAAATCCTCCTTTTCTTAGACAGGAATCGCCCGGGGATGAGCTCAACACATACTCCACCATGCTAACGCCTAGTCCCCCACTCTCCGATCGTGGGGACAGTACAGAATTGACCTCACTGTTCACATGGAAACTCTGACCAGGTCTTCTCTGCACCATGATTGGCTGGGAAACTGAATGATCTACAAAAAAGATACACAAGCATGATACAGTGCAGCCAGAGGCTCAAACAAATTACGAGTGATGTCTCATGGATAAACCAATGACTGGGAATCGGGAAACCTGCAGTGATCAGTTGAGCCAAAACCTCCTATTGTGTGTCTTTCTCTAAGTATGACATTCAACATAAGCTAAGAAAACGGAACACACCCCTCATGTATATCCAGGAAAGCAGAGAAATACAGCAGTTCACATAACTGGTTTATCTAGCTAAGTGGATATAATAATGTTTACTCCTTTCGAGTAGCAGAACTTCTTTTTAAAATATTTTATTGATAATATTACTAAAACAAAATATGACTTTACTGCCCTTTTTAAAAACAACAATATGATTTGTTTTTTTCTGATGACTCAAAGTCATCATGAGGCTCTGTTCTTACACTGTACTATAACACAGCACATCAGCTTTTGGGGTTTTTGTCTCCTTCCTCCCTATCATCTGTCACTTCTTTCTGCTGTCAGTGTGTCTGCCTCTACAAGTTCTCCCCATCCCTCTTCAGGGGTAGTCTGTCAAAAGAATGTCCATGCCCAGTGACTTGATTTGGTCCCAATCACATTTAAAGATAGATTATCCCATACACGATACACAGGGGAAAGGGGAGATAAAGAAACATGAACTTCAAATGGCAGGTGTGAGTTTTCTAATTCCCAAGTATGCTGACAGCAGTACAGAACAAAAAGTTAAGCTCAAATTATGGTCATTTCAAATAAGACCATTCCCCTGTGGCTAGCACTTCAAAAAATGTCAAAGATTTGATTTTGTTTTAATTATATTTTAATAAATTACATCATATAAGCTCCTTAATGGCAATTATACTACAGGACAGGACATTGCTTGACATGCTTATGTCACTGATGTAAAAGTCATGACTTGCCAACTGCTGAGGAAAGGAGCTCTAAGACAGGCATAAATCACAGTACAGATGCTAGATCTAGATTACCTGATGTTCCCCAGGCACTGTCTCGCCATTGATCACCCAGGAATATTCCTTTTGGTCCATCTTTGCTGGATTCATCTGTTTCCCAAAACTTTTTACCTGGCAAGAGCTGCTGCAAATTAAAAATAATAGATGCTTTTAAAGAATTCATAAAGGATGAAAGTACAGCAGTCAACACTTTCTTTTAGACAAGAGTACTAAAGATGCTCATGTGCCCTGAAGGTCTTTAATCAAAGTGTTCCGACTACACAGCTGTGGTCAGAGCACTACATTATATTTGGTAAAAGTCACAGAGAGGTAAGTGGGACACTGATCAAATCACCCAATAAAGGCTCAGTTTAAATATCTAGAATTATTCGCTCAACCCATGCCGAGATTTTTAAGGAGAGGGGGAAACTAATATTGGTCCAATTATCTAACTGCTAAGTGGACTCTTACTTATAAAGTACCCACAACTATTAAAACACTTCTGCCTGTATGCGTATTAACTACCATACAAAGTTACTCAAGCTGCAGCATGAACTCAGCTATGAACCTCAGCTATGGAATGCTAGAGGTGAAATTCACTTCCTTTATACACAGAGATTCCATTAACCAAAACACTTCCCAACTACAACATTAACCTACTCCAAGATTTTGGAAAGACAGAAATACTATTCCCCAGATTACTGGGAGGGAAATAAAATCTTCTAATCTCCATTAATTTTAACAATACTTGGTAATGCCATTATAGTGACTTCACAAATCATTCCATGCTTCACAGAAACATAGGCCCTGTCCCTAAACCAATATGAGAACTTTAGTCAAGCTTCAAAAGAAGAAATGCCAAGTACCCTTCAAGCAAAACACAGTGCGGTTTTACATGAGATCAAAGCACTAGTGACCAGGATTAGAAAGTAAAATTCCACTCAAATCCCATCTTTCTTGGTTTTGGTCACCAGCTTTACTCGCTAAAATGTCCCCTTCTCGCTTCCTTTTGTCAACTGCTATTACTCAGACAAGAAACTAAGAAGTTGGACAGAGCATCTCATCTAACCACTGCTTTTGAGCTTGTAAAAAGGCACACCTGGAAAGTTGAATTTCTAAAAGTAACACAATAAAAAACCCAAAGCACAAAACATTTATTCTCCTCCTTGACAATAAAGGTTTAACTTTCCAAATTAACCCATAACCCAGTAATAATGTAACAATAACTAAACTTTGTGCTCACTAAAATAAATCTCAGCTTCCCAAATCTAATTTCTGGGTTTCTCAGCATAATATTAATCTATCCTTAAGTAGCTCCATAACTATCTAATGGACATGGCTTACCACCAGGACCAAAGCAGTTTCCTGCACATGTTTCTCTTTGGGCCCTAATTTGTCATTTTTTAATCAAACAGGATCATGTTAAAACACACATTTTGGTTTGGCCTTTAACTGCACTGAGGGCTAAATTGCTTGAAGATGAGCAGTTAAGGGCTGTCACCTTGAGGGGATTTGGGGGAAAATGGGGAGCAGGGTAAAATGGGAGAGCACCCAGATCAAAGCTCAGCATTAGAGTCAAGAAGCGCTGGACTAGACAACTTTGAAGTTTTCATGTGCAATATTACAAACTGCCCTGGGCCTCATTCTCTTTTTACTGATGAAGGGAATATTTTCCAGATTGCTGTGATGATCAGAGACATTGGTATTCAGTGTCTAGCACAGTAGGTTCTCAAAAAATGTATTCAACGGCATCACACCTGAGCAAAACAGCTGTCAAATCACAAACAGAATACTGAAAATTAATGTAAACCATGCTAGGGCCAAGTCAAGAATTCCTGTTTTTAAACTTTTTTCTCCTTTTAGTCCTGAAAATGCCCTTTCCGAAGATTACAACTAGAATTTCCTTCTCCACTGGTTGTGCCTTTTCCAACTAAAATTCAGATTTTCTCCTGTATTTTGTAGAGAATGACAGCAAACAGAAGTCCACATTAACTACTCCTTTGTGTGTCAGAAGAAAGAATATCAGCACAAGGGTCACCGCACTTGTTGATTAATTTTATGTTCCACATGATAGTGGTAAGAGAGCAAAGGTGATCGAAACCATTCTTGCCCTTTAATTTTTTTTAAATGTTCATCCCTCTTCACAGAAATTTGTAAATATTTATTCAAAACTCAGGGAACAGATTCTTAAAGTACCAGCCGCCTCCATATGTAAATATAGTCTTGTTCTTGTTCATAATTTGTCAAATTGCTTACTAAAAGCCTTTGAGCTCAAGGCTTCAAAAATCAATTCTGGGATCTTGTCACCTTTCACAGTAGCATGCTAGTTGTCATAATGTGCAAAGCCAGCAAAAGGAGGTGAACACATAAGCAAGGTTGTTTCCAGCCTAAATTCTCTCAAAAGGAAACAACACAGCAAACATGAAGCAAAGTGCTAAAAAGCTGAGATTGTACTTCAATGTAGTAACAGATGCAATATAGTCTCAAAGGAATCCACACCCAAAATACAAACAAGTCTCTAGCTCAGACACTAAGAAGCAACCATTTCTCCCACTATTATCAATATAAATAAAAATCCTAAAGCAATGCTAGGAGCAGCCCAAAAAAAGTACTAGAACTATAAGATTTCACAAAAGTAGCAGTGAGAAGATCAATGAACTGTTATCGATGGAAATGGCAAGGAATTAAAAGACAAATTTAGAAGAGATAAAGAAAAAGGAGATAAGAAAAGAGGGTCATAGCATGCTGATGGGAGAGGAATGTGGAGAGTTGTAAGGATGCTCTGTAAATTGGGAAGAAAGCAAAATACTGAGCCGAGGGACTTGGGAAAAGACAGAAGCAAACTTAGCAAAACTCTTAAAAGTCTTTGGATCTTACATAGAACCTACCCTTTCTCTCTTTCCTCCTAAAATATATCCATCTATAACTCAATTGTTGTGGCAAGCAGCATCTGAAATGGCTACTAAAGATCTTCACCTCCAAGTACTTGTGCCTTTATGTAATCCTTTCCCTTTACTAGGGACTGGACCTAGCGAAGTGTCCTCTAGAAAATAACATAAGGCAAGTAATGGGATGTTACTTTCGAGATTATGTTACAAAAGGATATGACTTTCATCTTGCCCTCCTCCTGTTTGTTCGGTTTGATGAAGACAGCTACTATGTTATGAGCTGCCCTACAGAGAGGTCTACCTGGCAAGGAACCAAGAAAGATCTCTGGACAACAGTTCATTAGGAACTGAGGCCATCCACCCAACAAAGAACAGATCCCAACATCAACCACACGAGTAAGCCTGGAAACAGACTCTACACCAATCAAGGTTTTAGATGAATGCAACCACAGTTGAAATCTTGAATGTACCTTGTGACAGATGTTGAAAGAGAGGACCTAGCAAAGCCATGCCTGCATTCCTGACCTACAGAAACTTCGAGTTTTAAATAATTGTGTTGTTTTAAGCCACTAAACTTTGGGGCGATTAATGCAACTATGAATGTATAGAGGTACTTTTGTATATTTGAAAAAAATTTTTAGGAGTTTTTCTTCAAGAAAGATTTCTTGTTCCATTTCTAATATTTAAAACCGAGTGTAGAAAGTGAAATGCTTTTTTGAATTTGGAAAAAATAATTACCTACATTCTATTACATGTTCTGCCCTACTTTGTCTTACAGCCTTTGTGTATTAAAAATGACTGGCTTTTTTTTTTTTTTGAGACAGAGTCTCGCTTTGTTGGCCAGGCTAGAGTGAGTGCCATGGCGTCAGCCTAGCTCACAGCAACCTCAAACTCCTGGCTCAAGCAATCCTCCTGCCTCAGCCTCCCAAGTAGCTGGGACTACAGGCATTCGCCACCATGCCCGGCTAATTTTTTTTGTATATATATTAGTTGGCCAATTAATTTCTTTCTATTTATAGTAGAGACGGGGTCTCGCTCTTGCTCAGGCTGGTTTCGAACTCCTGACCTCGAGCAATCCGCCCGCCTCGGCCTCCCAGAGAGCTAGGATTACAGGCGTGAGCCACCGCGCCCGGCCAAATGACTGACTTTTTAAACTCTGCAAAATTAAATCAACTTTGACATGTTAAGCTCCCTGAGAATTAGTGGCAATCACTTATATTCAAGAGTAAACTAAAAGATACACCTTGCTGTTCAAATTTGATCATATTAAAAGGAGGTAGAAACTACTGAATTATAAAACAAAGTGATGATGTGTTACTCAAGTGCCATTACAAATTCAGCAGTAACCCCTCTGGAGATAATATCACCCATGGCATTAGCTAAAATACCCAGGTTTGCCAACCCTCTGGCATAAAGACGAGGAAGGACCAGACCCTCACTTGAGCCACATTTAAATTCAATCACCAATATGCAACTAGCCTATGACAAGATACTTCCTACTTGCCCCATTAAGAAGTTAGAAATAAAGACTGGGGGTTTTTTGGAGGGAGAGGAATGGGGGGAGGGGCAGGGCAAGAAGCAACAGATCCCAGCAAAGATTTACAAAGTTTGCTTTAAACAAAGATTAAGCAATAAGAAGATTACAAGATTTGACAATTTCAAAGGAAGATAATAGGAATTCAGAATTGGTCCAGCAAAAGCAAAGGAGAGCCAGAGAGTCAGACAGGGAGTATTATTTACTCAGTTGGTACATTTAGGGACAGAGCATAAGATGCACAAACATGTCTATCCCTATAAAAGCAATTGATGCATCACATTAGAGAGTAGCTTAATTACAGCAGACACTAAACACATCCAAGTAATTCCCCTGGCTGCAACTGTGCTTACCCAGCAAGCTTCTTAGAAGAATTGGCTTCCTCCTGCAGCCAAGCATGCCATTCACTGAACCCAATTATCCTGTCCACTTGAGAGTTATTATTTCTCCTTACAAATTAGTAGAACTCATTTTAGTTTTTATACATTAGTATACTGTGGTCGGGGAGTGGGGGGTATTAATCCCGTAATCTACTCATCTCTGAATTAGTGATGAAAGTCCGTTTCAAGACCTACAAACTGAGAACCAGGACTTGGGAGGTCCTATCATCCCTAGCAATAAAGACCTTGTACTCTTCCTTGAAATGTCCTATTAAATGGGATTCCTAACTGCCCCACCAATAGTGTCTGTCCTCAAATCTTTGGGAGAAAAACACACATTTAT